AGCCAATCCACACCACCATTGATGCAGCAACCAATAAGATGCACAATAGCCGCTGACAGCAGCCAATCTAACGTCCACCCTATGCACTGTCCATGTATAAGATGACCCCCACTTTTTAGCATGATTTTTAATGAAACAAACATAGTCTTATATAGTGGTACCTTGGTTCACAACCATAATCTGTTCCGGAGATCCGTTTGTAAACCAAAACAGATTGTAACCCAAGGTGCGCTTTCGCCAATGGGGCCTCCCAAAAAAATTTGTTCGTAATAAAATAAAAATAAGGTTGGAATCCAAAAAAAGGTTGCAAACCGGGACATGCACTTCTGGGTTTGATGTGTTTGTAATCCAAAATGTATGCAAACCAAGACATATGCAAACCAAGGTACCACTGTACACAGAAAAGTACGGTATGAATTATCTTCCTTCTGCTGTGGTTCTTCCTCATGCCTTACCTTCTCCTTTTCCCTCAGAGTGAAGAAAAAGAACAAGCCGTTGAACCTCAAGATCCACAACAGCGTCGGGAGCTGTGAGAACATCCCTGCCCAGCGCTCCCCGCTGCTCTCAGAGCGCTCCCTGCGGTCTTTCTTCGTCGGACACCCGCCTTTCCTCCCTTCCACCCCTCCTGTCCACACGGATGGCACCTTCTCCACTAGTAAGTCAGCCCTGATGTGGGGCTACAGTGGGAGAGGAGGAAGGGGGGCGGGTTGGTAATCATGCCAGAGCACTGAGCACGCATTGCAGGGGGTGGGGCCCAGATAACCCTCTGGGGTCCTTACCGATCCTACAATTCCATGAGGAATTCCATGAGGGTGCCTGGGGGCTGACGAGAGTCTTTCCACACAGGCCTGGCTTCCAGAACTGGCTTTCGCTACACAAAGTGGAATAAAAGCCACGTTTGTAGATAAGAAAGCCGAATGCAAATTTTTGCAATGGTTTGTGTGTTGGTTTAGAGAGTGCCCCAAAAGATTGCTGATCAGTCCCGCTAATTCCAGTCCCCAGGCGATAAAGTGCCATTCATTACGTAGCCAATAAATTTACTTATTTATTTATTTCATAACATTTCATGCACGGTGAGACCGTAACCAAAAATCCACGAAAGGAAACCTCCAAGCTACAGTGGTACCTCTGGTTGCAAACGGGATCCGTTCCGTACCTCTGTGTGCTCTGGAACTTGTCACGATGTCCCATTGCACCAGAAGTAGTTTAGTCATACTGGCCACATGATCCAGAAAGCTGTCTGTGGACAAACGCTGGGTCGCTCGGCCTAAGTGAGATTAGTGCCGCAACCCATAGTCACCTTTGACTGGACTTAACCATCCAGGGGTCCTTGACCTTTACCTTCTAAGGGTGGATCTATGCACAGGAAAATAACCACTATAAATACGTCAGAAATTAGATCATTATAACAAAAGAAAAAAACCTATGGAAAACCACGCAGAAAAATTTTCTGCTCTCTGGCTCCATCTGGTGTTGCATATTCATAACACATTCAAATCGGTGTTCCTGTACTAATGTACCTGAGTCCCCGTGGTTTACCTCAATAAAGATTTCTTCCTCAAGGAAGAACCTCTGCTGTTGTGGAGTAGACAGGGAGACACCAGCAGGCTTGGGAAGAACACTGCAGTTTGCAAAAGCACAACATGTTTTTTTAAACACACATATCCTGGGGAACAATTACCCCCAAACAGTCTGTTGCCTGGCTGTCGGAGGAGACAAGTTGGAAAACTAGGTGCATGGGAATAATACAATGGAGTGTTCCGGGAAAGGGCAAAGATGGCCGGCTGGAACAGCAAACAGGAGCACTTGGTGCTGCAACACTCTGTTGTTGGATCCACTTCTTTATTTAAAATACAAATGATCCTGCCGCATCAGGCCAGTGGTCCATCTAGTCCAGCATCCTGTTCTCACAGTGGCCAACCAGATGCCTGTTGGAAACCTCCAAGCAGGACCTGAGGACAAGAGTCCTCTCCCCTCCTGCGGTTCCAAACAACTGGTATTCAGAAGCATTACTGCCTCTGGTGGTTCAAGTCGAACATAACCATTGTGGTGAGTAGTGGGAAGCCTTCTCCTCCATGAATTGGTCTAACACAGGGGTAGGCAACCCCTTTTAAAAAATAATAATATTTTTTATTAATTTTAACATATAAATTATAAAATGTACCACAAAGCTTGTCACTTATACAATCTTTTTGGACTTCCATCAGCACCTCTGATGATCTACCGTTTTCACCACTTCTTATGCATTTCTTAACTTTATATTGCCTTTACATCTCTTAACAAATCATCCTCCCCCTTGTCCATTTTTACAATGCTTCTAATAATACTCCTCACAAAACTTCTTGCAACCCTACAAACGTCGTCTGTTCTTCACAATTATTTTTCAAATAGTCCGTAAATTTACTCAGGGGTAGGCAACCTAAGGCCTAGGGGCGGACGGTCCGGATTTAGAGCCAGTGTGGTGTAGTGGTTAAGAACGGTGGACTTGTCATCTGGTGAACCGGGTTCACTTCCTGCTCCTCCACCTGCAGCTGCTGGGTGACCTTGGGCTAGTCACACTTCTCTGAAGTCTCTCAGCCTCACTCACCTCACAGAGTGTTTGTTGTGGGGGAGGAAGGGAAAGGAGAATGTTAGCTGCTTTGAGACTCCTGAGGGTAGTGATAAAGCGGGATATCAAATCCAAACTCCTCCTCTTCTTCTTCTTCTTCTTCTTCTTCTTCTTCTTCTTCTTCTTCTTCTTCTTCCGGGAATCAGCGTGTTTTTACATGAGTAGAATGTGTCCTTTTATTTAAAATGCATCTCTGGGTTATTTGTGGGGCATAGGAATTCATTCATATTTTTTTCCAAAATATAGTCTGGCCCCCCACATGGTCTGAGGGATGGTGGACCGGCCCACGGCTGAAAAAGGTTGCTGACTCCTGGTCTAACCTTCTCTTAAAGCCATCTAAGTTAGTGACCATCACTGCCTCCTGTAGGAGCAAGTTCCATCATTTAACTATGTGCTTTCTTTTATCTGCCCAAAATCTTTCAACTACATCTGTATAGCAGACCTCCAACAATATAATTCTGTTGTCCTTTTTTTTGTACTTACTTCTTTTTAAATTACTTTTGTTAGGTTTTCTCAGCTGAGATTTATATCTTTATTTGTTAGCTGTCTTGAGTCTTATCTTATTGTAACAAGGGAGGATATAAATGCTCAGAGAAAGGAAACAAAACAATTCCAAGTAGCACTGGGTGAAAGATGACTGAACCGGTAGTTCCCTATTCATAAAACTGGCAGCCGTATTCTGGACTAGTCTAAACCCCCAAACACTCTTCCCAGCCGGCTCTACATGGATAATACATTTAAAAAAAAATACTAATCTACTGTAACTTGGACATTACAAAAGCATGGAGAACAGTGGCAAGATCATGCATAAGAACCCACGTGTCCATCACCACCACCACCATCACTTTTAATTTGTATACCGTCTTTCTATCTTACAATACCCAAGGCGGTTTACAAGCTGAAGAAACAAAGAATGTACACCTTATAACAATCTAATGCAATACAAAAATGTGATAATAAAACGTAACTTTAAAATACGCAAGCTACATCAAATAAAGTAATGTTCAACATTCATTAGACTAGTATAGAATAATATTAAATATCAGCATATAAAAATTAAACAGAAATCCACTCTTAACAATTACCATACAATAAATAATTTCTAAACTACAGTGGTACCTCTGGTTGCAAACGGGAATCCATTCCGGAGCCCCGTTCGCAACATGAGCAGAATGCAACCCACATCTGTGCGGGTCATGATTTGCCACTTCTGCGCATGCGCATGATGTCATTTTGAGCATCTGCGCATGTGTGAGTGGCGAAACCCAGAAGTAACCCTTTCTGGTACTTCCGGGTCACCGCGGGACGCAACCTGAAAAGACGTAACCTGAACCGAATGTAACAAGAGGTATGACTGCACAATCAATAAAACAACGGCAAGGCACAGTGCATAAAATAATACAATACAAATTGAGAAGCAGAGACTGGAGGGTGGGGCAGGGCAGGTGGAAGGAGGCCTTGCCTGATGAAGTCTCTCCCCTCAACCCTCAGCATCTTCATGTCACTGTGGCCAACAGCAAACAGGAGCACTTGGTGCTGCAACATTCTGTTGCTGAATCCACTTCTTTATTTAAAATATAAATGATCCTGCTGCATCAGGCCAGTGGCCCATCTAGTCCAGCATCCTATTCATGCAGTGGCCAACCAGATGTCTGTTGGAAACCTTCAAGCAGGACCGAGCACAAGAGCCCTCTCCCTTCCTGTGGTTTCCAGCAGCTGGTATTCAGAAGCATTGCTACCTCTGACCACAGAGGCAGAGCATAGCCATTGTGGCTAGTGGTCATTTCTTTCATTTGTCAGTGAGAGAAGGGAGGGGGAGAAACCCCATCCATGCAGCAAATGTCGTCAAAACAGGAGAAGATGTCTGGATGGAAGGGGTCAGGTCATCAGCGTCGCTGCCTGCCATTGGTGTTGCTGAGGTTTCCCTTCTGGCAGTTTTTGCTGACGTCGCCGGTGACATGGCATGCCCCAGATCGCCAAGCCAAGCTCCTGCTTATCTCCGGGGGGGGGGGGGGGAGACATGATTTCCTTCGCAAGTTAAATAGCAGCTCCAAAGGCATTTCTGTGGGCTGTGTGTGTGCCTTCTGGCTCTTGACATCAGTTGGCTGTTGAGATCTTTCCAGAAGCAGCCAGGCCTTTCTTAGCATCATACAGTGGTACCTCGGGTTACATACGCTTCAGGTTACAGATTCCGCTAACCCAGAAATAGTACCTTGGGTTAAGAACTTTGCTTCAGGATGAGAACAGAAATCGTGCTCCGGCGGCACGGCAGCAGCAGGAGGCCCCATTAGCTAAAGTGGTGCTTCAGGTTAAGAACAGTTTCAGGTTAAGAACGGACCTCTGGAACAAATTAAGTACTTAACCTGAGGTACCACTGTGTATATGTGTGTGTGGTGTGTGTGTGTGTGTGTGTATATATATATATATATATATATATATACACACACACATATATATATATGTTTTTAACATATCATTTTCAACAATTATTAAACATACTTTTATATCTTATACAATTTTTTTTGACTTCCATCAATCACATCTGGAAATCTTATCCACTTAATTTACATTTCTTACTTTCACTATTACATTTAAGTATCATAACTAATATCTCTCTTCGCAATATTTCATATATTCCTCCTTACAAAACTTCTTGTAGTCCGACTAGCGTAATTTGTTGATTACAGCTGCTCTTCAAATAATTCGTATATTACTTCCAATCTTCTGTGAATCTCTGGTCCTGCAGGTTTTGAATCCTTCCTGTCATTTTGTCCAGTTCTGCATAGTCCTTTAATTTTGTCTGCTATTCTTCTTTCGCTGATATTTCTTCTTGCTTCCATTTCTGGGCCAACAATGCTTTCTTAGCATCTTCTTATCTCCCATCCTCAGAGCTGCAGGGAGAAGGCGGATACTTTGGGAGCTGTTGCCATATTTTGCCTGGATGAGGAAAGGGGTTGAGTGTTGTTTCTCAGTGCTGGGGGGTCTGCCTTGCATGCAGATGCTCCCAGCTTCAATCTTTGGCATCTCCAAGCAGGACTGGGGATGCCCCCCCGTCCATCTGAAACCCTGGAGTGCACAGACTACTGATGGACCAATGGTCTGACTCTGTATAAAGCAGCTTCCTTCGCCCAAGTTTAAATCAGTGCTTTCCCCCAGTACCATGAGGACTAGAATCTTGCTGTTATTTTTAAGGGAACCTCCACAGCTTAATGGTAGAGCATTGGCTTTGCCTGCAGAAGGTCCCAGGTTCAATCCCCAACATCTCCAACTAGGACTGAGCGTGTCCTCTGTTTGAAAACCTGGAAAGCCACCACCAGTCAGTAGAGACAGTGCTGAGGTAGGATTGACAGATGGGTCTGATTCTGTTTCAGGCAGCTTTCTATGTTCCTACATTGGATTGAGCTGCAGTTTCCCCAGCTCTTTCCCTGCAGTGCCCAAGATTATTGAATTCACTGTTTAAGGCCAGCAGAAAACAGGTTCCCGTGCCAGCAGAATCACTGGTTACCTGAAACATGGCCTTCTCAGTGGTGGCCCCAAGCTTTCCAAGTAAGTCTCGTTCTGCCTAGGAATGGACGAATGTGTCAATTTTAGTTTCTCTTCATTTCTCATTTTTCCAATCTTTAGTTCAACACATCAGTTGTTGTTTTTTAAAGTCCACATGAAGTTTTGTGCAATTTTTTGTGGGTGTTTCATCTAATAGACATCATTTTGTATGCATTTTTGCCCGATGCCTGCATTTCCCAGCCTGTTTCCCCTATAATAGAATGTACCTTCATACACGGTTTCTTTTTTTTTTGCTGGTAGAAGAAAATCCCCCTCTGTTTGTTTGTTTTTTTGGACAGAGTGCTACATCTCACAGTTTGGAGAAGTGCAAATATTGAAGAACTGTATTTTGGTCCCTGTGTGTTGTTTTCGGGAAGTATGAATTAGTCAACAAACTCTCCTCCCCCCCAGCTCTGCCCCCTCTTTGACAGTGGGCAAAGGTGGTGCTCATTTTCTGACAGCCCTGGCAGTTTCTCTCCTGGTGCTGCATCTAATTAGCTGTTTCCTGCTGTGTCGTGCTATTTGTTCAGTTCTGTATAGTTATAAAAACAATCACTGGTTTTGATTGTTACATACTTTTGCGTTATGCAATGAGGCACTCCAAAGTGTCTAGCTTTCCAGCAGTGACCACACCTTGGAAAGGATATCAAAGTTGCTGCTGGTCAGCTTGCGGTGATGCAGAGACAGGCTTTTCTCCTGGTGGGACAGGTATTGTGGAACACAGTCCTTGCTGAAATACGAGAGGTCCTGTCTGTACTGGCACACTGACTCTTGAATATGCACCTGTTCATGCAGGGATTCTCTTGACCTGAGTTGTATGTTCCCATCAATGTATTTTTATGGGAGTGGCTTATACCTTCTGGGATGGAGAACCTGCTCCAGGTATGACAGCAGCTTCCTTTGCCGCTCACCTAGGCTTCCTTCAAGGCACCCCAGCTGACTTATCTCCAGTTCCCGAATCAGGGGTGGACTTTGGTAATCTTCGGTCATATGATTATCTGAGCGAGCCCAAAATTTGGTGCCCCCAAATGGATCTTCTCAATCTTCGATCTTCTCAATTTTGTGCCAATAATAATAATAAGAAGAAGAAGTATCATTTTCATTTTCATTTTACACTTCTGGAATTGCTGGAATCCCTTGGACTTCCCCCCACCCTCCCCTGATTTCCAAATTTCCCCTTATTTCTTTGCATCTAATTACATTTTTCTAATTTATTTCCTCACATCCCCTACCCTTTTAAACTAATATTACATTATACGTGCTACAATAATCCTGCTAACACTTTTAAGTATACACAGTGGTCTTTAAGATATTTTATAAACCTTTTCCACTCTTGTCATCTTGGTGTCTGATCCTCACGGTCATCTTTGCCATTTCGGCATAGTCCATCATCTTGGTTATCCATTGTCCTTTGGTTGGGACTTTTTCTTCCCTCCACTTCTGAGCAAGTAACATTCTTGCGGCTGTTGTCGCATACATAGTCTTTTAAATTCTTTTGGTATTTCATCTCCTATCAATCCTAGTAAAAAGGATGAAGGGGGCGCAAAATTTTATCAGTTTTCACCCCCTTCATCCAGTGCCCTGTGGGGCGGGGAACTGCCTGCACCATTGGTGCTGCCAAAATGGAGCTCCAGCTTCTGGAGCACTCAAGAGATGGTCATCCATCCTTGGATACCATTGGAAGTTTAGCAGAATGCTTCTGACCCTCAGGCAGGCAATTCTGCACCTCTGGATTGGGGGCATCTGTGTTCCTAGGATCAGCTACAGCTTCATCTTCTTGCAGAACTCAGCAGGGAGGAGGGAGATGTGGACAAGCCAGCACTATCTGGCTCTGCCTGCCATTGGCTCTGGCTCCACAACCTGTTGGGTTCAAGAGAACATCAGAAGAGCCTGCTGGATGGGACCCATCTAGTCCAGCACCCTGTTCTCACAGAGGCCAACAACATGTCCCACGGGGAGACCTGCAAGTGAGACCTGATCACAAGAGCCCCCTCCTGATAGGTGCGTCAGGAGTGAGCCAGCAATAAATCACACGGAGTAAGTGAAGTTAACTCTTTATTGGAAGAAACAAGATCTGGCAAGGAGTGCCAGGCCTAATGCACAGCAACTCTTTGGTAGGTTGTGTCCCTATGAGCATAGCTGTCAACTTTTCCCGTTTTTCAAGGGAAAGTCCCTTATTCCGAATACGATTCCTCACAGGAAAAGGGGAAAGTTGGCAGCTATGCCTATGAGGCACTTGCAGGGACTGAAGGTCCATGCCTTCCCACAGCAGCCTAAGTCTCCTCCTCTCCTGGGTCTTTCCCAGGCAGCCTGAGACTATGCTGGTGTGCCCACCTTTGCTTCTCCTGCTTCATACCTCTCCTGTCTGGGAGACCAGGGTTGCCAGTGTGTGGCGGGGAGCTTGTAACAGCAGGAGGGGGAAACACCCTGGCTTCTTCTGTATCATTTTACTGTTGTTAGCCACTCTGAGCCCGGCTTCAGCTGGGGAGGGCAGGATATAAATAAAATGTTACTCTTCTTCTTCTTCTTCTTCTTCTTCTTCTTCACCAGTCTGACTTATCTCTGCCTCTTGGCTTCCCTCTTCCCCTGCTTCTGCTTCCGCTTCTGGGCTGCTCTCTGCCCCAGCCTCTCCCTGCTCACTAAACCCTGTTGCCTCTTCAGCTTCCAACACCACCTCCTCCCAGTCTTCTTCCTCCGACCACTCACCAGTGGAGGCAGATTCTGACCGCTGCCCAGCCGATTTAATTCTTCTCATCTTTCCTAGGTCTCTCCCCTCTGCCACCCGCTCTCCAAAAATCCTCAGTGACATCCCCACAACCTGCCCGATTTCCTCCATTAGTACTCTCTACCGAACTGCGACTTTCCTATTATTAAATTGTCAGTTTGCTTTAAAGGGCTTGACTCGGAGATAATGTAGAAGTGTGTATTTTGCTGGGCGACTTCATCTCTTTTGACCCCCTTTGGTTGCCACCCGCAAGGAGACGCAACAAGGTGTTTAGGACAAGCTGTTTGGCTGCATTCGGGAACGGCAGATCAGCAGGTTAAGAGCTGGGTGTGTTTGAAACATCGGAGTGCTTAATGGCTAAAAGCACTTTCTTCTCGTGGAAGCCTCACTTTTCTTCTTAGATTCCCAACGGGATGGGGCGATGTTGGGTTCCTCCCTGCTTTCAGTCCCTTGTCTGAGTGGCTTCCCATTTTACTGGAAGTGTGAGGTTCAGCATTCCTGACAAGATAGATGGATATTTGCACCAGTCATTAGCTGCTGGAATTTCATAGAATCATAGAATCCTAGAGCTGGAAGGCACCCCAAGGCTCATCTAGTCCAACCCTCTGCAATGCAGGAATCTCAGCTAAAGCATCCATGGCAGATGGCCATCCAACCTCTGCTTAAAAACCTCCAAGTAAGGAGAGCCCACCACCTCTTGTGGGAGTCTGTTCCTCTGCTGAACAGCTCTTACTGTCAGAAAGCTTTTACAAATGTTTAGTCGGAATCTCCTTTCTTGCAATTTGAAGCCATTGGTTCGAGTCCTACTGTCCAGAGCAGGAGAAAACAAGCATGCTTCCTCCTCCATGTGACAGTCCTTAAAATATTTGAAGATGGCTCTCATATCTCCTCTCAGTCTCCTCTTTTCCAGGCTAAACATACCCAGTTCCTTCAAGCGCTCCTCATAAGGCTTAGTTTCCAGACCTTTGAACATCTTGGTTGCCCTCCTCTGTACACCTTCCAGCTTGTCTTAAATTGTCTTAAATCCTTAAATTGTGGTGCCCAGAATTGGGCACAGTATTTCAAGTGTGGTCTGACTAAGGCAAATAGGTAAAGGTAAAGGGACCCCTGACCATTAGGTCTAGTCGTGACCGACTCTGGGGTTGCGGCGCTCATCTCGCTTTATTGGCCGAGGGAGCCGGCGTACAGCTTCCAGGTCATGTCGCCAGCATGACTAAGCTGCTTCTGGCGAACCAGAGCAGCGCATGGAAACACTGTTTACCTTCCTGCCGGAGCGGTACCTATTTATCTACTTGCACTTTGACATGCTTTCGAACTGCTAGGTTGGCAGGAGCTGGGATCGAACAACGGGAGCTCACCCCGTCTTGGGGATTTGAACTGCCGACCTTCTGATCAGCAAGTCCTAGGCTCTGTGGTTTAATCCGCAGTGCCACCCGCGTCCCTGGTGACTAAGGCAAATAGAGTGGTACTATTACTTCCTTTGATCTGGACACTATACTTCTGCTGATGCAGTCTAGAATAGCATTAGCTTATTTTGCTGGTGCATCACACTGTTGACTCATGTTAAGCTTGTGGTCCACCAAGACCCCTGGATCCTTTTCATGTGTACTTGTAGTAAGCCAGGTGTCCCCCATCCTATATTTGTGCATCCTATATTTGTCTGGTTCTTCCTAAGTGCAGAACCTTACATTTGTCCCTATTTAAATTCATTTTGTTAACTTGCGCCAAGTTCTCCAATCTGTTAAGGGCATTTTTAATTCCGATTTGCTTACAAACAAACATAAACACGACTAAGCAGTTTGCATTGCCATTAAAAATTATGCAATATAAAACTTTGAGGGCGTAATCTAAACCCTTACTTTAATGGTGGCAGCCAGAGACTGAGTTGCCCTATGGATAGCTCAGTTGGTTAGAGCGTGGCGCTGATAACGCCAAGGCTGCAGGTTCAATCCCCCTTTGGGATACCTGCATAATCCTGCAATGCAGGATTATGCAGAAATACCTATTAAAATACAGGCAGTAAAAACAGAACAGCATTGTTTAAAAGCCATTTCCTTAAAAGCAGTCAGCTCCCCAAAGCCTGGTGGAACAAGAAAGTCTTCACCATGGTGGATAGCTCAGTCAGTAGAGCATGAGACTTTTTTTTTTTTTTTTTAGCTTTGGAATGTAACAATTTATTGGGGTTCATCTTTTTAACTCCCCATTTCTGGCATTGATACAATACTCAAGAGCAGCAGAAAGAACAAAATGTACAAGCACACAAGAGTAATTAGCGCAACCCCCCGCAAAACCTGGAGCAAGCCACTTTTCTGATGGAAATGCCAATGGGGGGTGGTGATTCAATCACCCACCCCACTATGCTTCCCATCCATCCACTCTAGACAGTTTAGCCAGCTGAGAACTGGATTTTTAAAAGCAACCAAGCAAATGCAAACACTATATTTAAAAATGAATAAGACAAAAATAATAGATAACACTTCATTCATGCACAATTGTTTCATTAAATGCATTTTTTGCCAAAATTAAAAAGTTACCAGATATATATTTAGTTATTGGTTTTTAAAGCCTATTTCATACGCCAAGAACACAGCAACTTCAGCTCACCCTTTGACAAAACTTAGCATAAGGCCTCAAACTTTGCAAAAGCCAAATGTGCAGACTTACACTAACCCTCTCAATTGACTGCATGAGACTTTTAATCTCAGGGTCATGGGTTAGAGCCCCATGTTGGGCAAAAGATTCCTGCAATGCATGGGGTTGGGCTAGATGACCCTGGGGTCTCGTCCTACTCTATTAGCCTATGATTCTATGTGCATATTCATCAGGGAAGCTGACAACATCTGCGGAAGGGCCATAGCTCAGTGGCAGAGCATCTGCTTTGCATTCAGAAGACCTTGGGATCAGTCCCCAGCATCTTCAAGGATGGCTGGGGAAGACTCCATGCTGGAAACCCTGGAGAGCTGCTGCAAGCCAGTGTCGGCAATATGAGCAGGATGGAGCAGTGGTCTAACTTAATAGACTGCGGCTTTCTGTGTTTCTTTGTATTTAGGGAGGGGCTGCAGCTCAGGAATACTGAGCGTGCCAAAAGCTCCAGCTTCAATCCCCTATGGCATCTTCCAGGTAGGGCTACACAGAACCTTCCCTGGAACCCTGGAGAGCTGCTGCCAGTCAGTGTAGACAATACTGAGCTAGGTGGAGGAATGGCTCGGCATAAGGCATCGGTCAGCTTCTCCTGGATGGCGTCTCGGCACAGTTGCGACCAAAGGAGGAAAGCTCAGTGCTCCACGGCGCAGTGGATGCGTCGTCGCAGCCGGGCTGTTTATTTGAGCGGCTCGGGTCACCTGCTTGGCCCCTCTCGCTTTCCAGGCGGGCGAGTGCAGTCCAGGTCTTGGGCCTTGTTGTCACACCTGCCTGTCAATGGGAGACAGCCGTGGCCTGCGGGGGCCCTTCTGCCGTGTCTTCTGTCAGCGCGGGAGCGGGAGAGGCGTGACCTTCCCTTTGTCACCCTCTCCGTTATGCCAGGCTGCTAATTTCCCCCCGCCGTGGCTTCTGTCAAGGCGAGACGGTTGATGCCAAGAGAGGACTATCACTCGCAGCCCTCCCTCAACTTCGCCTTGGCCTGGTGAGTCCTTCGGCCTCGCTGCCAGGATTCTTAAACTTCTGATGCTATCGAAGCACAGGGTTTGCAGTTTCCAAAGCGGGAGGTGATGAATCGACCTCCCACCACCCCGAGAAGCCACAGGGACTTCTGTGACTTCTGGGAGACCTCCTTCTGAATCCCAGGTTCATTTCTAAAGCCTGCTTTCAATTGAATGGAAGATGCTCCCTGCACATGCTCAAGAGCAAGTCCACCCCTTTCTGGATGCAAATTTGAGGAGCGATTCAGCTAAATCGTTGCATGAGCAGAATCATTCCTGCTTCTGTAGCAGGACTCATCCTCCCTCTCTTCCCCTCTCCATGGGCCTTGTGCTGTCCCCAAATCTTCTGGTTGTTTTTATTTTGAGGGGAAACTAATTTTGGGGATTGAAATCCAAGGCAGATCATCATCATCATCAACAACAACAACCTTAAGTCTTCTCATGCTCACTTGGCATTGCCAAGCCCCCAAAGTTCATTTGTGTCCCAGAGCCAAGCTAGCTTTGGTGACATCTGATATTGGAATCCTCTCTGCAACTTCATTGCTTAGAGCTTGGTTTTCCAACCTTGGGTCTCCAGCTGTTTTTGGACTACAATTCCCATCATCCCTGACCACTGGTCCTGCTAGCTAGGGATGATGGGAGTTGTAGTACAAAAACAGCTGGAGACCCAAGGTTTGAAAACCCTGGCTTAGAGGTTCAAGGAGTGTGTAAAATGGCTTCCATGTTCTTTTAGAGGAAATCGCTGCCAGCCCATCTTTTGAGGATTAAAAACAAAATGAGCTTAAAAACAGCTCTCCCCCCCGAAACCCATCAAGGCTCTTCCAGTTCAACATTTCTGTCCTCTCCCTCCCTTGATGCTCCACTGAACACAGTGTGCATGTGTCTGTGTGCGGGGTATTGTTAATATCTCAGATCCTCCATCCATCATCCCTGTAATGAAAATAATTACCTGCGAATCACGGAGGGTCTCGCTGCTTTGTTCAGAGGTTATGATTCCTGATACACTTTAATAATAATTTTTTGACAATGAGCATGTTACGGAAAGTAATTAAATCCCCTCAGCCACTTCCCCACCCTGCCCCCATCTCTTTTAAAACAGCGTGATTTAATTGAGGCCAGCTGAAAGTTAGCAGAAATAAATTGTGGGTGATAAAGCAAAGGTTTTAATTTAACTTCAGGTAAGTAACTTTAATTGTCCGCTTGTTTGCTTCACAAAGGATGGCGGGGGCAGAGGAGGGGGGGGCACATTTGTATAATGTGATTTAGTGATGAGCAAACAGCATTTCAGAATATAAAAGGTCCTTTTGTACTTCTACGGACCAGATCCTTGCATGGTGTAAACTAGCTTTCTTTTGGGACTGTCAGCAGGTAATCTTTATTTAACGCCTAGCTCCCAAGGTATTAATTCCCCAACAGAGAAAGGAGCAAATCTTGTTGACACCATCTTCAAATGGGGGGAGCAGATACTGGATGAGCAGAACCACAAAACAGCTGATATGTATCTTGTCCAGGACATCACAGACAGGCCTGAGGACCAGGCTGTCTTGAGGACTTTGTTATTTGCTGTTTGGATCAGAACATAGTTGTTCTTTTTCACTTCTCTGATTTTTTCCCCATGTAGTTGCTAACTCAAGAAAAAAAAATCAAAATAAAAGGTAACATATTCATTCATTGCTCCACCCACTTTTGCCTTTGACTCCCACCTATCATTGGGTAATACCTGAAGGAAACTGATTGGCTGCTGTTGGATATGTGTTTGGTGACTAATATTATAATCAGTGCTTTTTTCTGGGGGGAGGCAGGGATACTCATACCCCTAAACATTTTGTGAATCTAAGTTTGGCCTCATTGAGGGGCAGTATTTCAATATGAGTAGGAAAATGAGAGTACCCCTAAACATTTTGATTAAGAAAAAAGCATTGTTATTATATTTATTATTAATTATTATTATAATATGCTGCCTGTTCTATAGACCGGGGCTCAAGGTGCCTTACACAAATCAAAAGAACACAGATCAACTACAAAGATCTCAAAACACATGAAAGAGGTTTATTAAAAAGTAAAGGTAAAGGTAAAGGGACCCCTGACCATTAGGTCCAGTCGTGGCCAACTCTAGGGTTGCGGCACTCATCTCGCTTTATTGGCCGAGGGAGCCGGTGTACAGCTTCTGGGTCATGTGGCCAGCATGACTAAGCCGCTTCTGGTGAACCAGAGCAGCACACGGAAACGCTGTTTACCTTCCTGCCGGAGCGGTACCTATTTATCTACTTGCACTTTGACGTGCTTTTGAACTGCTAGGTTGGCAGGAGCAGGGACCGAGCAACGGGAGCTCACCCCATCGCGGGGATTCGAACCACAGCCCTTCTGTTCGGCAAGTCCTAGGCTTTGTGGTTTAACCCACAGCGCCACCCGCGTCCTTTATTAAAAAGTAGTTAAGCGGTAATCAAATTAAAACAATATAAAAAAAAAATGTATTAAAACACAAACAATAAAGGCAGCAAACTACTATTAAAATGTCTTTTCTTAAAAAAGTAAGTTCCAAAAAACCACCAAAAAACAAAACAAAAACCCTGTCAGTTTGTCATGGAAAACTGGGGTCAAGGCTGGTTGGGAGCCGACCAGCAGTAACTCCCACGGCTTCAGTGTAGCTATCTCCTTAGACCTTCTGATCGCCAAGCCCTAGGCTCAGTGGTTTAGACCACAGTGCCACCTGCGTCCCTTGAAAACCGAGGTATCACTGTATTATTATTATTATTATTATTATTATTATTATTACCAGCATCCATGACGGATAGCCAGCCAACTTCTGCTTAAAAGTATCCAATGTAGGAGAGCCCAGCACCATTAAAGTATCAGCGTGCTTTAAATGTATAGTCTGAATGTGGCAGTTCTTGGGTCTTTGCATAGCGGTCGCCTCCCCTCCCTGCATTTTGTTGAGATGCACATTGATGCGGTGGAGTTATTCCTGAGCAGCAGAGGGAGCGCTGCTCTCCTCACAGGAAGCCACATGCAAATGTAACCTTCTGAAATGGCACATAATTAAGAACGCCTCAACCTGCAATATTAAAATGGGATATGAAAGCAAACAGAGGCGTTCATATCCTATGTTAAAAAAACACCCCAGGAGCGTGTTTGCTGAAGGATTGACAGGTATGCATAGGAAACCCAGGGGTCACTGCTGGAGTCTGCCTGGCCGTTTCAGCTGGTCAGATGTCCATGGGCCCAGCTTGCATCCCTAATGGATGGCATTTGGGTCTCCGAGAATCATATTTGATTTTCACTTTGGTACCCAAGAGCTTCTGCTGTTAAAATAAAGCCAATGCTTGTAACTGTGCCCAAATGCTCTTTCTATAAATCGTTCTCTCTAGGGTAAACAATGCATTTATTTTCATTATTATTACAAGTGGAAACCTATAGTATACCCTCCAACATTTCTCTGATGAAAATAGGGGCATCCTATTCAATAATAATAATAATAATAATAATAATAATAATAATAAAAATAATACCCCACCCATCTGACTGGGTTGTACCAGCCACTCTGGGCGGCTTCCAACATATATAAAAACATAATTAAACATTTTAAAATTTCCCTATACAGGGCTGCCTTCAGATGTCTTCTAAAGGTTGTATAGTTACTTATCTCCTTGGCTGTTTGCATAACTCCATACCCTCCAACAGTTCTCTGATGAAAACAGGGACATCCTAAGGAAAAGCGGGATATTCAAATCAGAAACTGGGAACAGCTTCTGTAAATCCGGGACTGTCCCTGGAAAATAGGGACACTTGGAGGGTCTGCTACAGAATTTCATATTATTTCAACTGGGTCAGAAGCAGAGAGGGCAGGAAGAAATCAGAAGCGTCTGGGTATCAAATGGTTTTGTTGTGATGAAAATAAAAATAATTGAATCAAGCCCTGTAGTTTTCACACTCTGAAAAACCAGCAACGGGGGTTAAATTGTGGTGGAACTGCCAGTACACTTTGGGGTGTCCTGGTTTTTACTTTTTGAAATATGGCAACCCTAGAATGTTATGAAGAGTCCTTTTTACTCATATTTTTATTGTTTTATTCTCTTTGTAAACTGCTTTGAGCTTTTCTTTTTTTAAAAACACACACAATCAAGTGGTGTATAAATGCTTTGAAATAAATAACAAACTAATTAGCATGTAGGTTTTCTCGCCTCCGTGCACTTTCCCTGAATTAATTAATTAATATCGTTCCTGTATTAAAACTGTTTGCTGGAAAACATTCCCCGAGTGGTGTATGAGTCCCATTAAATA